AAAGTTCACCAAACTAGCAGAGAGTACTATGATTTTAGAATACATGGCCACATTAATTTTTTATTGTTAAGTCCATCGTATAGATCCATATCAAAAAAAAAAATTGATTATATAAACTTGTGTGAAGAACTAGATAGTCATATACAACAGTACTGAGACACTACGTACCTTTTTCAACCATCTTTACATACTGAGCTATAACACTCAGAAAATTCAATTACAATTATGCATTAATGACAGAGAACTGGAGATGCACATATAGTTATATATGCCAACTAGGTAACTATCATAATTAACGGAACTACGTAAATCTCATTTTCTGCCTTAGTTTTGCTACCTTCCTTCTACTTTCTTTACTTTTCACATAGCGTTGGTGCTGCCTTAGCCCAAGTGATCTCTCTGAATATTTCTTAGGTATTCATGCTGCTCAAATTCACTTTGAGTTAACTTTCAAAAAAAAAAAAAATTCGCCTTGAAGTTCCTACTACCGTGCCATGGCAGGAAAGATAACCGGAGATAAATAAATAAATAAACCATTATATCAATTTTCTTTCCCTTTTTTAAGTTATACAAGAACTTAAAAGAACACCCAAAATTTTTTTAAGGTTGGGCTTTGTTTGTTTTGATAACTGAGATAGATTAAGTGTCTTAACATGCTGAGAACCAGAGTTCGGCATGAAATATTGATTCCATAATGGCCCTAGCAAACTTCTTGGGTCATCATCAGGCTAGAAAATACCGAGCATTTTTGTGTTGGGTTTTCTTTTGGCACAAAATGCCCAAATCGATTAGCATTGCCATACTATGAGTTTATAGGTCACATGGGACAATGGTTAGGCTTCTTTTTTCAAAAAAATGAAGGCCACCAAAACCAACCACCCCCAAAAGAAAAAAAGGACATGCCTAAGTGGTGTTGTTTGATAATTCAATTTAGCGAACAATTAAGTTCTTATCCAATTAAATGAGTTTGATTATATAATTTGAATATCACATAAAATGGTAAGTACTACTTAAAATAGGATAAAATTTTAAGTGAGAAAGATATCACTTAAAATTAAATACCGAAGACTAAACTTTTTTTAAAATATTAAAAAATATTTATTTTTTAATTACCACTTAAAATTTTCATTACTTAATTTTTAATTTTATCAAACAACGCCTAAAATCTTGTACACTCTCACGTATACACAAGTTATAATAATATTCATAAAATTTTAATGTCATCTTATTCATGATCTTAATGAAGTTTACACTTAAATCTTTTAGATTGTGATAACACCTTCATGTGTATGATATTTTATTCACTAACAAAAAAAAAAGAAAAAAAAAGCTCAATACCATATGCAAACATATATTTTAAACTATATAATATATGAACTATATGAGTATTTATACAAATTTGTATCATATTATAGTCTAAAACATAGAAGTGACAATCAAGTTCCCTCATATCTCCTTTTTAATATAAATTTTATATTGTAATATCTATGAAATATTGTGTAAACATATAATATAGTTTTGTGTAATCAAAAGGCGATTTATTAAAAATATATATATATTTTTGAATAAACTATTTTTGGAGGCGTATTATGGGATGACAACTGGACCGATTTGGAACGGAATTAGTTAAATCCTACTCCGTTCCATTGGAAAATCATATCCTTACAAACTATGTCCCAATTTTCGGACGAATTTTTAATTCTTATATCATTCCCCTCTCCGTGGGCAGATGGAGTACCAACTCTACCCTGCTTCCTCCATTTAATTTAATACAATAAATTAAACTATTATAAATAAATGGAGGTGAGTGGCTTATTAATAAAATCATAAGTGAAATTTGGAACAGAAAATAAAAATCACTACCTCGTTGAGAGATGCAAAAACATAAAACAAAGAACGCATTAACACCTCTAATATAAAAATGAAAAAAAGAAAATTAAAAGCATATATATATATATATATATATATATATATATATATATATGGGGTCGGATTTTTAACCCGCCTGGCTCCCCCTCGGTGTTAGAAGGTAGAGAGAGAACCCAACAATTATGTTCAATTTTTTTTTTTTTTTTTTTTTTTTTTTTTTTTTTTTTTTTGTATATTTATAATTATTGTTTATTTACAAGAACCCCCAACTCTATGACTAATTATAGTATTACCCAACACTTGCATACAGTATGTTAACAAACATTTGATCATTTTTTCTATATTTTAAGAAACTAATAATTTTGATTAGGGTAAATTGCACCTAGACCCCCTGAGGTTAGGTCATATTTCAGCCAGATAAAAATTTTGGTTTTAATTTTCACTTACACCCCAATTTACTTTTTGACTTCTGATACAAGTGAATAGACTATTTTAGCCTCAATTTTTTGATACAATATATATATATATATATATATATATATATATATATATTCAACACTGGCAGCTCCCACCATTAACACCGACAGCTCCACCAACGTCCCACCCTAACACCTCCTTGCACCACCAACCCACCCAAAACCAAACTGCACCCCCACCCAACACCTCATCACCACCACCCACCTAAAACCAAACCCAAAAATACATAAAATCCCATCCCACCCACTGCCGAAATGGACATTGATGACAAAGAATCGAAGGCGAGTTAATGTCTGCGGCAGGTGTCGGATTACAAGCTCTGCGGTGGCCTAATCAATATATCTCGGCAGCGACACATTGGATTACGCTTACAGCCTCGACGGCGTCGTAATCGGCGGCAAAAATCCTCATCTCGTGCTACAATCGCATATCTGTGTGTGAGGGTTTGTGTGGAGAGAGGTAGCTACAGTCACGGCGGCAGTGAAAGAGGTCGTGGTGGAGGTGGTTGCGATGGCGGCGAGAGAGACGATGGGATCGATTTGCCGATGACGACGATTTGTCAAATCAAACGGCGACGACAGTGGAGAAGACGGCAATGATGTCAAAGCCTCCGGCGACGTTGAACCCTTGTCTTCTTTCTTCGATTTAGGATTTCTTTTCCATTTTCCACCAAATCACACACACATATATATATCACCCACACCATATACCACCCCTGCCGGCCCGCCACATCACAGATCCACAACCCACAGCCACATCCGACGCCGTCATCGCTGATTGCTCTAACTAGACGTCCGTCTTTGCTTTGTCGTCGCTTGGGAACACGCCGATATGAACTGGGTTTTGATACTTGGAGCTCGCTGGAACTGAGTTTTGTTTCGCCGACACTAGAATCTCGCCGGAACTGGGTCAGTTCAGTTCTGTCGTTTGTCGCCGGAGAAGAACTGGGTTTCGCTAAGCCTGTAATCCGAATTGAGTTTGGTTTCGCCGACTACAATTGATTCCGATGGGAGGGAGAGAGAAAGGGGAAAAAGAGGGGGGGAGGGTCACAAAGAGGGGGGATGGATAGTTTGGTCACGAATATAATTAATATGAGGTCAAAGGGTAGTATAAACTTAAATTGATATTTGGGGTGCAAGTGAAATGTTAAATCACTAATTCATATATAAGTGAAATTTAAAACCAAAATGTTCATATAGGTGTAATATGACCTAACCACAGGGGATCTAGGTGTAATTTACCCTTTTGATTAAAGAAGATGATTCTAGAACAGGACAAAAACACCAAAACTAACTCTTTTGCTTTATGCAAAACTAATATTTTGTTCGCATCTTCAAGGTAGTTTAAAGCTTTTTTTATTTTTATAACTAATTAAGATTTCATAAAGTACTCAAGAGGGAGCGTTCCTAAGAAAAACATCAACTACATATTAAATCAAAAGTTAATGCAATGCCACATATTATGTCACTTGCCATATTATGTCACGTGGATAGATGTGTGTTTTAAGGCTAAAATTTGGACTCTCAAGACCTAGAAATAATTAAATATTGATATGACCCATTGTGTGGATCCAAATTCAGTTATGGAGTTTAATACTTAAATCTTTTATTAAGTAGGTCTTTTGAAATGTTACATAAGAGGAGTATTTATTTATTTATTTAAATGATCATTTTATATTTGCATGCTAAAAATTATAAAAAAGTACTAATAATTCTTTCTTTATTTTCTTTAACCATGCTAAAATCTTATAAAAAAGTACTAATAATTCTTTCTTTATTTTCTTTACAACACTATACCCTCACTAGCCCATTTACCATACCTGATTCATACATAAAAGCAAGTTAGTCAAAATGTAAAAAGAATGAGAATGGATAACCAAAGTTTGCATGCTAGTATCACTCGTACCAAGTGACTCGGCATTTTAATAGATGAGTGACTTGCTTCATTTTATGACTGGGTGTGGCTAAAATAAAAATATTATTTGTGTACATTTTCAATAGTGCAAATTTTCTATCCAGAGTTTAATTTTGATTATAGTATTGAAATATTGGAGGAAATTAATAATAAAAATTACGACTGTGTTTCACCTCACTCCTTCACTATGCATGATATGATAGTGGGTACCAACAGCATGTGAAGTTGACGTGCAATGGTTAGCAATACCGATAGAATCAAAATTCTCCTCATTATAGTTACTTGAGAGTCACAGGTGGTCAGTAGACTTAAATTCTCCTTATTATACTTATTTAGTGTTTTTCATTTGAGTTTGCTGTTGAGATTTGCTTAATATTGTATAATATATCATAAATCAACGAATCAAACACTCGTTTGATTTTTTCATTTTTAATCAGCAACTCAATAATTGCAACAAAGCTCGACTTCAAATATGTGTTATTTGTGTTAGGAATTGTGTATCCAATTTTAGAATACACATGCACAAAAATTTAACTTATAGATCCTATCTATAATTTCATAGTGGTAAATCCAAAACCATTAATTTAGTAACAATCACAATACATATTTGGTCACAATGAGAAATTCAACATATTGGGATTGTTAGGGAACATAGACAAGAAAGTTCACCAAACTAGCAGAGGACTAGGATTTTGGAATACATGGTCACATTTTTTTCCCATATCCATCTTTTCTATCCATATCAAAATAAAATGGATGTATAAACTTGTGTCAATAACTGGATATTCATATATAACAGACTGAGACACTACCTTTTCCAACCATTTTTACATACTGAACCATAAAATTTCAGAAAATTCAATTACAACTATGCATTGACAGAGAACCGGACATGGACATGTAGTTATATATGGCAACTAGGCTCAACTACCATAATACACGGAACTATGTAAATCTCACTTTCTGCCTTAGTTTTGCTAACTTAGATCTCTTGAACCTTCTACCTTCTTTACTTTTCACAGTGTTGGTGCTGCATTAGCCCAAGTGATCTTTGAGAATCTTTCTTAGGTATTCATGCTGCTCAAATTCACCTTGAAGTTCCTCCCACTGCAAGAAACATAACCGGAAAAAGAAAAAAAAAAAAAACATTATATCCAAATTTTTCTTCTCTTTTTAAGTTATACAAGAACTTAAAAGAACACCCGAAAAAAAGAACAAAAGAAAAAAGATAAATGGTAGTCGCTGGGCCTTGTAAATAATTAGTTAAAGCATTATCCCTTCAACCATCATGTGTGGGCATTAGAAAAACCAAACAATATTAGGACCTTGGTTGCTTACAACCAATTGAGTGATAAACAGATCACGTTTTTTAGGTCAAGCCAACCTCCATGTATGCAAAGGACAGAAGATAAGGCAGGTAGCCAGAACTTGGGATCTTTGAGTATGAATTGGTTGAATTTCGACCCAAATGTCCACATTCTTTTTTTCTTTTTTTTTTTGAACCCAAATGTCCACATTCTATCACTACCAAGCTTGTTCACAAGCCTAACAGATCTTAATAAACAAACTAGTCCGGTATTCTTTGTGTGTAATAGCCTAGGATCTTCATCATGGAGCAATCGAATCATACTCCAAAAGCTTCCTCAATTTTTTTTTCTTACCTCACTGGACTTGTATTATTTGCCAAGAAATTACTTCTGAAGTATTTCTCTGAGCAAATTTCTCAATGATTTATTTTACTAATCAAGCCAAATATGGCCTCTGTCAAGCTTCTCTGCACGAAATATTGGTTCCATAATGGCCCTAGCAACCTTCTTGGGATCATCATCAGGCTAAAAATATCAAGCATTTTTGTGTTGGATTTTCTTTTGGCACAAAATGCCCAAATCGATTAGCAATGCCCTAGATTGAGGTAATAGGTCACGCGGGACAATGGGGGTTTGGGCTTCTGTTTCCAGAAAAATGCATCCCACAAGAACGAACCACCCCAAAAGAAAAAAAGGGCATGCATAAGTTAGTCTTACACTCTCACCTATACACAAGATATATAATAATATTCATAAAATTTTAACACCATCTTATTCATTAATCTTAATGAAGTATACACTGCATCTCAATAAGCTTGCATAATCTTTTAGATTGTTATAGCACCTCCATGTGTATGATATTTTATGCACTATATAAAATTTAATATCATATGCAAACATATATTTTAAACAATATAATAATGATCTTACATTTAAAAAAAAATTATATCATTTTATATACTAAACAAAGAACTGGTGAAGATCAAGTTCCCTCATATCTCATTTTTTTACAAATTTTATATTGAAATATCTATGATATATTGTGTAAACATAATATGATATTGTGTATTCAAAATGCAATTTCCTAACTTTTATAGCATAGGATATAATAAGTTAATAACATATGACAATATTTTCTATATTAAGAAACTAATAATTTTGATTAAAGAATATGATTCTAGAACATGATAGAATACCAAAACTTAATTTTTCACTTTAGGCTTAATTTCAAAACTAACGTTCTGTTTGCACCTTCAAGGTACCTTAAAGCTTTGATGGTCAACAAAAATAACGCATTGCATGATAGATGTCATGGTTTTATTAAGAGACCAGTACGCAACCTATGACATACTGCTTCTACCCAAATTTGGCACTTGCCATGTTATGTCACGTGGATAGATGTGTGTTTCAAAGGTTAAAATTTGGACTCCGAATAATTAGTATTATTTAAGCTATTAATATGACTGATCGTGACCAGACTGATTTGACTCATAAATTCAGTTACGAAGTGTAATACTTTATCTTTGATTAAGTTAGTCTTTTGGAAGCTTTGAAATGTTTATTCAGTCCAATGTGTCTGACTGATTAACCATAATAAGGCAAAGGTAATGGACTGATTCATCTACAAGAGGTTAAAATAAATAACTGCCTGCAGATCTTCCACCCTTTTGTTATCCTTGTATGCAATTATAATTTTTGGCTTGTCATAGGATATATTCAGTATCCAGTGTGAATAAACCTTTTCTAGGAGCTCGCGGCTACCACTCAACTCATTCAGTCACTCACAACAGGAAGTACTTCATTTAGAAGTTACAATGGAATATTTGTATTGCAACTATTATCTCTGATACATAAACTAAGATCCTTCCAAAATCAAATTCTTATTATATCAATCTTATCGTCTATCTTATGCTTGATGTTTAGTACCCCTGTGGCTTCCAACAGCTTAGAGCATCATAATCTGACTCAAAATTTGTACATCTAAACATATTGTGTTGAGAAAATAATGCACATTTTTTTTTTTTTTTTTATCTTATCAATACTCAATATCAATGCCAAGCTTCAATAACTGTCAGTTTTCGAATTAACTCATCACTTTTTATGGACTCTAGGTACTGAATGGGCGTCCACCACTAAATTTAGAAGATACAAGGTCTGGAAGATATTTTTAAATTAAAGATATACCAATGTCATCTGCAGATGAGAGACACTTCTAGTGCATTGAGGTAAAAAGATCCATCAACAGGCAAAAAGGAACTAGGGTGTCACAGCACATTTATAAGTCAAGGTTTAAGCATTCTAGAAAAGAATTTCATATATCAAGGGTCCTTTTTTTCTTGATGGCAAGGGTTGGGACTTGGGGGTTGAGGTGATTTAAATTGGGTAGCTTGAAGGCACAAGAAACATGGCAATTCTCTTGATTCCGACTCAACCTCAGATGTTGAATAACTGTGTTTGCAAAAATATCTGCACATGAATACATTATTGATGAATGAATGAGAAATGAAGGAACATACATGTTGATGAGCCACAGATTCAAACTTCCAACCAGCAGCGCTAATGTAGCGGCGCTTAAGCATCGTATGTCCTAAAGGAACTCCTGTAGATAATTAAGATATTAGTTGAAATCTAATCTAGGATTACAGAAACGGTGGAAAAACACGTAGGAACATAACTATACACGATATGGCAAATTTTTTGTACTATGATAGGATACCCACCAGAATTTCTTGAAAAATGAGTAGGTCCATCTATCTCCAGAGCAACTTTTTGGTCAACTAAGACTGCATCCAAAGTGAATCCATCCACAGCATATTCTCTGATCCAATCAAGACCGGTGCTAACAAGAAGGCGGGCCACTTCCTTCTGAAATGAAGAAGTCATTTTCTGATTAAACCTCTTAGTTTTTGTTGCACGAGCAATTTTCTCCTCTAGATCACTCCTTAAAGATAAGGGAAGATGCGGGTATTCAAGCTTCAAGCACTGGTTCACAAGATTAACCTGAGAAGCAAACATGATATCCTCCCTATACTGCTCTGAAATCCTTTGCTCCTCAAAATGGCTCAAAGTTTCCCACACATGTGAAAAGAAAATCCGGTCCATTTGCCCAAGAACAGCATAAGACCAAGCTATATTTCCCAGCTGATCCCTATTGAAATTGAGCGAAGGAGAACCTAAAACTCTATCCAAGTCAGTATCTGCATTGCTCCCTGCAGCTCTTTCTTCTTTGTAGTCCGTTGTTTCTTCATCTAAGCAGCATTTAAGTTGGTTTGCATCCTTAAAAGTATCATCTAGAGATTCTAGCAAACAGTCAGCAGGCTCGTACAAAGATGCGAAAGCCCACAACACCTGAGCAAGCTCTTGCTCTCGAAATGTGTGAATTATACTCGAAGCACGTGTAGATAATTCAGAGAAGAGATCAGGAGCAGAATGCTGCATCGAAGCAAAAGCACCTGCTATATTAGCAACATTCTGAGAGTTGAACTCACCGACCTTGGTCAAGGCCACCTCCCCCACCCTATCCATTTCTGGCAAATAAAGAAGCTCACCTCCAATCTTGGACAGTGCCCACGAAATATTTGAGATACCTTGAGCTGAGCATTCAGGTAATACAGTCATTGCAATACCCACAAGCATAGACATCTCTCTTTGCCGAGCAAACGCCAACCTATGAGTCCTCATCATCGAAACTTTCTCCATGTTCTTAGCAATCCGATGGAGTGCAGTGGCAATGTTCAAAGGAGAGAGAGGTGAAGGGCTGAGGCCCTTACCAACAGCCATAATTGTCTCTGCAGCAACCTCCAGTACTTCTTCTGCAGTCTGTGCTTCGACAATCGCCCTATTCAAGTTTATTTCTTTCCCACGATCAGACGGCCCTGAGAACTGTGACAGCCTTTGAACAAAGGCTTCCCTATTTCTCTCCTTCCTTTCTTCAAACATCCCATCTGCAATCATACTCACCATCTTCCCGATATTACCTCTACCATCAATAGGATTCATATTCCCTAATTCAAAATCCCCCTCATCCACGGAATCAAAATCAGTATCTTCAACTGATATTTCTTTCTTATTACCAATTACCCTTTTGGTTCCCATTTTTTTCTTCTTATGCTTCTTCTTCTTCTTCACAATCAAGTCTTCCACTGAACTGCTCAAGCCCCTTGCTTCTATGGACTTGAGGGCAACCTTCCTCGCCCTCACACACCAATCCATTTTATCAGTATCTACGAGCAGCCTTGACTTGGGCTGCTTTCTCTTCTTAGGAGGCAAAAACCCTAATGGGTCTAGCTCCCCAATGAATTCTGATTCCCAATCCATCTCAACATCTTCTTCTATATTCTCATCATCATCACCACCACCACCATCATCATCATTTATAATTTTAATGGCAAGAGAACTATCTCTATTTATATTTATGCAATTGTGCTTTCTATGGAAACCCAATTGGAGTCTCCTGTTATAGAAGACCTTTGAGAGATCAAATTTGTGAAGTAATGTTGGTTTTGGATTGAAAAGCAACAATGGAGGTTGTGAGAATCTATGAGCAGATGGGTATGTGTAGAACAATCCTTTCATTTCTTGTTATTGACAAAAATTTGCATACCAATACTCAAAATCAATAATACACAGAAAATGTCATCCACTTGAATTTTGCTTATAATGTTTTAGAAACTGTTTGCAGAAAATGTCATCCACTTGAATTTTGCTTATAATGTTTTAGAAACTGTTTGTAACGAAGCAAAATCAGAGGCATAATACAATTTGGAGGAGAGAGAAATTGAGAACTCACCGGTGACCAAGCATAGCCTGAGACCCTGTCATCCCAAAAGCTACTGTATTTGTGAGCGATGTGTGTGGATAAGCTGAGAAGAAATGACTACACGACGACGTATTGAGGTTCCAAAGCTTTTTTTAGTATGGTGCTAGTAAATTGAGATCAATTAAGCACCTCCACATAAATAATAAGAGTATTAATAGAAAACAGAGATAAAAAATAAAAACGTCTAAATTTTGTGTAAAACAGTGACCGACGTTAACCCCAAATTGTATTTTGTTTACGTGGAGTTGGTGTTTATTATTACTATTAAGTAAAGTTAGTTATTCTAATATAACTAAAATTCTAATATAATTAACCAGAGAAATTAGACTTAAATGGAGGATTTATATTATCAAATTTTCAAAACTATTTTTTTAAAAAAAGTTTAGTCAAATATATTGATATGGAAATTAATTTTGAAATTCTGTGTAACTTAAAAATTGGTAGGATATATTTTTTTAAAAAATAGTTAAATAAATTTGCAATTTTTAAAATATTAATTACATGTCTTTGTAATTGCGGAATTACATATTAATTTCATTCAGGAAAATATATATATAATTTGTAAATTTTATTATTTTAAATTGGGGTTTCATTAATTAGGGTTAATTAACCTAGTCGGTTAAAATTAAGGTGCATCAGTTATCTTTCTTTCTTTCTTTTCTTTTCTTTTTCTTTCTATTTTTAAGGTTAAAAATTATTCAATTTGTCAATTGTATTCAATTGCATTTTTTAATGTTAATAATTATGTATTCAATTGCTTATGTTGTTTGACATTCACTGACCCAATTTTTTATTTTTATTTTGGCACTAATTTATTATTTTGGTTGCATGTTGCTGATTAGGAAAAGTTGATTTAGTCTATTGAAATTAGTTAGAAAGATTAAATTAACAATTTTATGATTTAAATCTGTCAATTTATAAGCGAAACAAAATTTAGATAATTTTATTTTGTGTGAGAGTAGTATCACACAGTGCAGTGTTTATAAACTTTAACATCACGAACACTACAAATCATTCTTTTTACTCCAATGAATGTGTGCTTACGACTTATTTAAAACACAGAGCCATGAAGCAATTTCTAGTGCAACAAGGGTTTATAATATCTCTCCAACTCCTCTTAAAGAGGAATTTCTCTATAATATTTCACTCCCTAAAAACTCTCTCTATAAATACTCTTGGAAGGAAAAGTCTAGCCAAACAATCCTTAGCCATGGTTCCCTTTTTAAAACTAATTCAATAAAAAAGACTCTCATCAAAGCAGCTCAGCATTAGCTATTTATAATGTACTCCCACCTCTTGGCTCGATATTATTATTTTTTATTCTACAAAATTTTATAATTTTTTACTTGTTCAAATTTCAAGATATTTTGAAACATAATTTGCACATGACTTTTATCAGAATATTCTATAAGAGTTTAGATAGTTTCTACAGAATTTGTGTTCGAAAAAAATTGGAAGTGGAAGAAAGAAATATTAGGGCAAGATTGGTTCAGTTTTAAATTAACACAAAACTGTTATTGTTAGCTATCTATTTTTAGTTGTCTGAAATTAGAAAAAATTTCTCTCAAATTCAACCGCAAACTTTTCTCGAAATAACAGAAAAATAAGAAGAATGGATCAATGAATATGCACGAATAAGTTGACACTTGACACGACTAATACAATTATAAGTTCTCATTTTAATGTATATTGATTAAGACAATCATAGAACTTTAATTACTTTATAATTTCTTTATTAAAGTTATATAATTTAGAAGGCGAAACTATTTGAATATAATATAAGTATATAGATAGGAATTTATATACGAATTAAATCTTAACCGTTGCATAACAAAAAATAAACTACATTTTTAATTGCCAAATAGAATCTAACGGTTAATACTTGAGGTGCGCATACATTTTTCTGCACACTAGCGAGCAAGTGAATAATTATGTGTTGGTGTGTGTGTGTGTGTGTGTGTGTATATATATATATATATATATAATATTACTATTTTATCTTGTCATTGTAGTTAACTTTTTTTTTTATATATGAACAAGTGTTTAATGTCAATTTTTTTTTTTGTTAAAAAAAATAATAATAATAAAAGGTTTGACACTTTGATATATACGTTCATAATGTTATTTTTAGAACTATAATATGTTTGTTTTATATAAGATGGAATGTGGGATATATTATTGAGTGTCCAAAATGCATTGACCAAGTATCTAATGGACTAAAATGTGTCACCAATTGTTCAAAATAATAAATATTATTTCAAATTATAGAAAGACGGTCCAATAGTGTTAAGGGCCAAGGGTGGGCTTGAGCCCACAAAAAAAAAAAAAAAAAAAAAAAAAAAATTTACTAGAGCTAATTTTAGCCCAATCCAAAAATATATATATATATATAATAGTACTAGCCTCCCCAAATAGATTTGCCCATCCCATTATACATTTCTGGATCAGCCCTTGTCAGAGGCGGAGCCAGTGTATGCCCAGGGGGTACATACTCTGGCCTGACCCTGCTTACTATAATACATATAGTAAATTTATGTATTTTTATATGTATATGTGAAAAAATTCATATAATATCTCCCTTACAGTTTGTATTTTCTAAAATTATCTCTTACAGTTTGTATTTCTTCTCTTTTTTACTCTTTAAATTAGTTTAATTTCTTTTTTTCTTTTTTTTTAAAAGTCAAAATTTTCTTTTTGAATCAAAGTTTATTTATTTATTTATTTTTTCCCTTTCAAAGTTCTCTCATTTTTCTTTTCTTTTAAAATTTTTTGTTAAATATTTATCTTTCTTAAATGACTCATTGATTGACATATTATTTTGAGTAATTTTTATTCTTTGCCTTTTGATTTGAATAATCTATATTTATTGTCATGTTTATTATTATTATTATTTTTACACTGTGCACCCTAGGTTTAATTTCTGGCTCCGCCCCTCATGATGTGTCGCAGGACCGACCCTAAAAGGCCCAATATTTTATGAAGTCCTAGGCGAATGTGAGGCCCAAAATTTTAAGAGGGCTTGGTAATACAAAATTTTGGGCCCAAGTTGGAGGCCTTAGACAACTGCCTAAGTCGCTTAGCCAATACCAGCCCTGATGTGTTAGTGTTCAATATTCAACACATGCATAATATCTTATAGAAGTGTCCATGCTTTGTTGGATGGAAAACCGAATGCCTTTTTAAAATCCTTTTGGAAGCATTATCAAACTGAATCTCCTAGGAAATATATTAGTCTAATTTGGAAAGGATGGGAGACCCTCTATTGTTTGGCTCTCCGAATTTAACTGCGAACTCTTTCAAACCAGCAGCTTAGAGGTATATGTGTTCCTCCTGTCTGTCAGAATTGAGTGTAGATTTCTCATTATTGGAATTGGAATTGAAATTAAAAAAAAAAAAAATTGTTTTCTCATATTACTTCAATCCCAATTGAAGAGAAATGTTTCGAAGTTATGTTTGACAGGTATGGAATTAGTGGAATGGTTTATATCACATTTTACTATTACATCTCACTGCAGTAAGTTGTTGAGATTCTTCTTTATGTGCACCATATGACACGATGGACTAGACATCAAAAGCTTTATAATAGTATCTCCATCAATACGTGACATGACCTATTCCTTAAACCAGTGTCTTATTTGCTCCAAATACAAAAAGAATTGAATTGGCAACTCTAAATTTTATAATTTTTTTATTTTTTTGATCCCTCAATGACACGTGTCAATTTTTAGTCCGGGAATAATCATCTCAAGGGATGAGAAATGAACCTTCTCAAGATTTTTTCTTGACAAACTATACAAGTCTTTTGGTTCAAAGTCATATTGAACTATTTTTAATAATATTATGACCATTTGTTGCATTAAATTAGTATAGGACTTGAAATTCCCATATGATTTGTTTTGCAATGCTAGTGACCTGAATTTTCTTTATTTTGACTACATTTTTTTTTTCTCTTTTCCATTGCTTTTTTGTTGAATAGAAAGTATATATAGAAGAAAAAAGGAAATCAGTACTACTACTTAGGCAAGTAATAATGAGAAAGTTCTAAATTTTTATTTATTTGAATCCTTCAAACTAAGAATACAATTTGGGGAATATGAAAAGGAAGAAAGAATTTGTTTTCATTGTATTTTTATGTAAATTATCTGTAAAAATAAGAAACGGAATATATATATATATATATATATTCTCTTGAGATGATTGTGAGTCCAGCTCTTAAAAGGATGCTGCCATCTGGGATCACTGCACTCCTCAGAATTACAACCACCCCTGCTATGATGATGTAGCCATAAGCTTCCTTGTTCCCTTCTTGAACATTGTCTTTATTTATGATCTACAAAATATCAAAGTGCATATACTTCAACCTACTACAGAGCAAAGTCCTCTAATAAAATTATAATTCATGTATATGCACAATATATAAAATTATGTATGTGATGTAGTTTATTAAAACTGTGATTTTGGAAGCTAAAAAGTCAATATATCTATACTTTGGAAAATCAAATGCTTATGTGCTAGTACCATAACATTTTTGCCAATTCTTGCATTCTTATCCACTATAGCTTTCCCTATGTGTGAACCTTCCCCAATTCCAATTGGAATGTCCATGCATTTGCCTTCTCCACCACAACTCTGCACATCTTCTGCCTGTTTCACACATTTGTATGAGAAATGCGATAACTGGTGGGATGTAGATCTACGTAGCATTTGCGAAAATGACAGCAAAAAACAGAAAGTGATGTTAAGAAAAACAAGTGAAATTTAGATGAGCATTTGCAAGAATAGGTACAACCATGCTCATCTCAAATGCTTGTCCGAAAATCTAAAAATGATACCAATGGGCATCGTTGGCCCATTTTTTATCGGGTATGGGTCTTCCAAGGTCAAAACAGTCCGGAAAAAAATGCACGAAAATTTGGTAAGCATGCCAATTAGGCATTCTGGCTGTCCAGACTATAGAATTTGACCTAAAAACATCATGAGGGGAGATTGAGTGTTTGATCCGTGCTAGGGGCGTTCTTGAAGGTATATATGCGTTTGTTTGAACTTAAGCACGTGCACACGCACATACAAAATCTAAAAATGATTCATTTCATTGTGGTTTCCACTACCTTTAGAAAACAAGTAATGCAGTTTATATGGCTCTTACTTGATAGATATCAGAGCCCATGATTACTGAATCCTTAATTGTGGCCCCATTTCCAACCCTTGTCCTCAGACCAACTACTGCACCTTTGATCTTGCACCTCTGCTATTAGGGAACTCATGAAAACCTATCCCACCAAGAAATTCAAAACAGAAACTTCTATGCCCCTTTTACTTAGAACTTGGGAGCTCAAAAATAAATAAATAAATAAATAAAAATAAAAATTATCATTTTCTTACACTAAGCAAGGGTGGGGTAGACAGGAGCCTTAGGCGAGTTCGTCAAAGGCCTCAACCAATAAGAAGCCGAATCATCTCCAGCAACTTTTTCTCACAATTTCGCATGCAGATCACTGCATTTACTTCGAAATTTCACCACAAAAATTTTCATCATTTTTGAAATTTTAAATGATGAATTTGACCATTTTTTTAAGCGAGTAAAAATATGTGTGCAAAAAAAGTTACTTTGATTCTTGAAACGTAATAATAATCATTAATTAATCATTTTTTTTACTATTCTTGCATTTGTATGAGCAATGCGTGATTGGAGAATGATAGATTCCCTGAAGGAACAGGGGCAATTTGTTCTCCAAACTTATAAAAATGAATCTCAACAGAGTTGATCATGGGCTGGCATTGGAGAATGAAGTCCTTTTGAAGGTAGGCATTGTCTCAGCCTTTTAAGCTCGGAGCTGCTATTCTCTCCTTGTATTCCTTTTTAATAATAAAACACCATTTAAGGAATAATACTATTTTGCCAAGGACAATACTTGGTGATTACTCAAACGCAAATTATTTTTCTGTATGAATAAAAGATTTTTAAAACATATAGATTTTGGCCAAAGACACCAATGTTTTCTGAATTGAGTAGTGTTTTCTGAATTGAGTTTCGAAAGTCTATTTATAAAACATATATGTATTTTAACTCTGATCAGATCTTCCAATAGTGGGCATTCATTTTTAGGGCTTTACAGGAAAAGGCACTGTTGATTTAATCCTCTCGGGCACTTTGTAGTCATGTAATTATTTTATTGCTGAACCTAACCCTTGCAGAATGGTCATGCTTTGCCTGACTTGGCTCACCCTAAACTGCCCCTTTCAAGGAACCAAGATCAATCAAATCCCATTCATGTCCTCTGCTATGGGTAGCCCGATGCACAAAGTTCCGTACCCTCTAAGGTCCACAGAGGATGTGATGCATGCAGCCTTGCCTCTGCATGTGGAATTTCCATTTCAATCCCATGACCCAGATCACCAGAAGATACTAAGCGGAACCGTTCATGCCATGTCATTAATATACCAACCCAATGAACATGCACTATTTAAGTTGGTTGTGTGTAATTTTTATGTGTAGGTGGACCAATTTGATTGAATTATCCAAGTTCACTGGGTGGACAAACCAATGACATGGTATACCCACCTTTCACCCAAAATCTTCCTACATAGTGGAAGTGTATAAAATCACCCACCATTTAGAACCTGTTATTGTTTCAACCTCTCACACCAAATTCCTATCAAGTTTCATTGCATGCAGAGTCCCAGAAGAAAATGAATTGTGAAGTGGAGTGATAAGGTCAAGGTCAGTCAATTGTAGAAAGGCTGAAGAGATGATGGAATATAACAGATGGTGGTGTAATCACAGAGCAGCTTCATGCCATGAGGCTCTTTCACATTAGCTGCCAAAACAATCTTGACAACAATTAAATCCAATGCCATATCAAAAGACAATCAAAAAACAATACCAACTAAGAAAAGAAAAAAAAATTAAACAAGTGCTATTTATAATACTTTGCCCAGATTTCCAGTTCTAATTTCATTAAAGTTCCAATTGTGATCACCACACCTGCGGACATCACCACTACCCCGACACTACTTTATTCAACTAAAAGCATTGCCGCTGCTGCTATCGCCGCCTGCAACTGACATCTGAGGCAGCCTTTAAAAGATGTGTGCGAGCGCGCACACACTGCACCATTTTGAAATGTGAAGACAAATATATGAAACAAAGTGTGACACAATAACGGATTGTCTAACATACATTAAACATTATGTCCTCCAAATTTCGACGGGTTTCAGCAGGGGAAAGATGTTCGAGCTTGCAAGTAATCAATGAGTAGCTAGTAATAATTTTGAATGCCATCACCAATTTGCAATTCCTGGAAACTCCTACCATAAAGATATCCGGGCAGCTTAGAGAAGAAAATTTCAACAGCATGCCAGCAGAAAAGGACTAAATTGAACTTGGTCAAACATTATTACTGCTTCAGATGGTGCTCAAACAAAGATGCCATCTCAATCTGCAATAAGAGCCAAAATAACCATGGAAAACTGAATAGCCCATCCAAGCAAAGAGTTAGTTTTTCTATTATTTTTAGCATATATTGGTATAAAGACATGTAATATGTCAGGAGGTTCTCCACTTTGACATAAATAATCTGTGTCTTTTGTCCATAAAAAGAATAGTCAAAAAAAAAAAAAAAAAATCCAGGAGTCAACAAAATCAGGTTTACAATGAGTACATGGATCTGTGGAGCTTTCAATATGCGCACTTCATTCATTTTGAAGCAATATGTGACAAAAGGAATATGGCAAACAAGTTGTGCACAAATACATAAATTAAAATATTTGATATACGTGCCAAGTTCATGTCCAACTAGACATCTTGGATGTTGTATTGTGCATCCCACATGAGTACTTCAAACATTTCGAAATCCTTAGCATGGGTTTTATATGTCTTCTTATATTTTAAGAGTAAGGCAATGCTAACCAAATTTGGTAGACATGAACAATAATAGGGGTCCATGGTTCCTACCTATAGTCAATTTATTCCACTAGATCATTACACGCACTCTTTAGTAGATCAAGAATGCTACCAGTGGTTTAAGTATCAAAAGTTCCTATTCTGCAAACCTAGTCTTAGTAGCAGTACAAAGATACAATGGCCTACCACCATTTATGTAATCTTTCTATTCAATGAAGAGCCGAGTCTTGAGATAAATATATTTAGAGTCAGCTCACTTACCAAATACACACCACACACACACACACACACACAAAGAGAGAGAGACAGAACTTACAGCTGTCAGAGCTGTTTCAGCACCCTTATTCCCAGATTTACCACCAGCTCGATTCAAAGCCTGGAATTTATCATGAAGAAAACATCCAAAATCATATGCCATCTAATATGAAAATAACTATACAGTGTTTTCTATGAGGCATTCCTTTACTGCAGAAAAGAAGAATATTATGATATCTTAAGAATAAGAGATTGTAAAATAATTAATAATTTTAACAAGCTCGCCAAAGTTTAAGTTGAATAATATAACACAAATAAGCAAACTTCAAAGTTAAAATAAAGGTTATATCATCAATTTACCTGCTCCATGTTATCGCATGTCAAAACACCAAATATGCAAGGAACTCCTACAATATCATTAAGGAAAGAAAGTTCAATTTGGATCAATGAACCAATTCTGAAGTTAATAACGGTACAACAATCTATAGAAAAGAAAATTATTGGCAACAATGCCATTAGTAACCAACGAGTTGCAAGTGTAATATTGAACAACGTTGATTTTATTTATAGACATCATGGTTTTGCCTAAATACAGAATTGATGTGAGCATCTAACTAGTGAGGTACTTCTGCCAAAGAACCTAATCAATGTGTCTCCAGCCAAGAAATTACACTCACGAAGAGCTAACAAGTATGCCAATTTTTTTCAATTGGATAATAGTGTGTTGTTGTTGTTGTTGTTGTGTGTGTGTGTGTGTGTTTATTATTATTATTATTTTCATATGCAAGATGGTATGATAATCATAATTCAGACATTTGGATATTAGCACGACAACCATATTTTGGCTAAGCAAATAATCACACATAGATGAATGCGCACACATGCAACCGGTTTCCCTTCCCCCGCTCACATACTCAGCACACGGGCACGTTCACATGCACTTGCATAAAAACACAAATATGAACTCATATGCAGATGCACACACCACAAGGACACGCTTGCATTCATGTTCATCTACATGCATATATGAATGAATGGTGATACAGAAAAATATAGTTTGTCCTCACAACCATATGAATTGCCCCTAAACGGCAGTGGTCAAAATAATTCTAGCTTATTTTAATTTATTATTTTTGAGGCAGTTCATGAGAGTTGATTATAGCAGAAATTTAGTAGAACAGCATTTTCCATGTGTGGGTACCTCTTAAGCCTAAATGCATAAGAATAATGGATTTCCTTTTTCTTAATATTTTCAAGGGAAAAACAAGTGTAAAATTCTATTCAGGAAGTGGATCAAAGTACCAGTCCTAGTCATGGATTGACCTGAAGTTAAGTTAATCAACAGTTGGCTACAGATATGGCAGTTGTAAAGGCAGATAAAAAAAGCTGAGGAAGTCCTAAACAAAAACTAAATTGGCAGCCAGAAGGGAGCCAGTGATAGAATATACCGAATCCTTCAAATTGAGGCAACTGAACATCAGAACTGAAAAATATTTTGTATGGAGACCATAATCCTTAAAGTAAAATATTTATTGTAGTTGCACCTGAAAAGACATGCACATATAGAGTTAAAGAAGGACTATCATGTAAAGTCTGGAAAGAGAACCTATCTGTTGCAGGAAAATGTAAAAAAGTTTCCTACTACCCCCAACAGGCACTGATAACATGTTGACAAAAACCTCAAAATAGTGTTGCCCTCAACCAAATTGAATTATTCAATGTTCTTTTAGGAGGCATCCCAGGGGATCTCAAGTAGTTCTACATATCAAAAGAAGGTGTGAGCCTCCTTGACCAGGTTGAGTATATGTGCCCCTCCCTGCTTTACATTGGAGGATAATGGCCAAAAATAGAAGAGTGGGTCAAGCTTAAAGGAAACTAATGTAGCCCCATTTTTATGATTGATGACACAAACTATTATTTTATTAGAAAGAATCTATTAGGGAATGTTCCCACCTTAAAATTCCAACAGCTAGGAAGAATAAATTAAAAACTACATTCTCCCCCGTCATTGGAAAAAATTGAAAGGGCAGTGGGCCTAGTGGCTGGCACTCAACAGTGAGTGGAAAGGGAATGGTTTTTTCTTTTCTTTTTCTTTTTCATTTTTTATGGGGGAGAGAAGAGCGTAAGGTAGGCAGGGAGAAGTGGCAAGGATTGGAGCTGAACATGAGGTTCACTTTATTTTTCTGTTTAAAATTAGCAATATGGATGGCCATTTCCGGAGCATAAAAAGGAAGTTATATACAGCTGGTTAATTTAATGGTCAACCATGTTGTCTTGACTATGTCACACTAGATTGAACTTTTAAAAATTTTAGATGTAAGAATAAATTATTATTAGTAATTGACAGGGATCCATTCAATTTTTTTTTTTTCTATTCTTGTTCATGTCATGAATAAGGAAGCATTTGTTTCTTACTCCACTTCAGCATAGTGAAATATGTTTTTCCATATGACAATCTGGAATGGAATCAAATGATTTATTGGCCAGCCGAAATAATTAAGACATTGTAAATTGATCTAGTTGTATGTATACACAACTGATGACAGTCGGCGAGTAGAAACACTCCAGCACAATGGTGTGTGTTATTTACCCTATATGCGTGCTTTACATCATTAAGGAGGAACGGATTTCATTTAGAATTTAAATAGACTTCCATTCTCAGAAATCCAGAAGAATAACAAAAAGGTTATCCTGGTGAATCAAAAATCATAACAGAAATGTGGAAAATATTTATATAGTAAAAACAGCTGTGATATGTACACGTTTCAGTCACTCGATAGGTTTGACCCAATATTCATGCAATCTAATTGAAAAGCTAAATGAATAAACAGCAACTGGAATTTACTCAAACACTAATCTAATGCTGAACTATGCATATGTGCCAGAAGATGCAATCATTAATTTTTCTTTGAGTTATTTCCATTATCATCAAAAAGGATGAAATAAGATCAGAAGAAACACAAATAGATAATACATAAACAAACCTGAATTTAGACCCGCTGAGAGTACTCCAGATGCTGCCGAATTAGCAACAGCATCATAGTGAGAAGTATCACCTCTAATCTACTGACAAAAAAGAATCATTAATTAATTAGGGCACCAAAAGCAAGCAGCATATACTGACCACCACAACAGGAGAATAGAAAAAGTTAAAGCCTCTTTCAGTATAAAATAAATAAGTCAACAAGCCTTTGCCAGTAGTCAGGTTAGACATTTGACACTCGAACTGCCAAGCCATGGATATTTATATGAATTGTGTTTTCTTTCTTTTCTTTTTTTTTTTTCTTTTTTAAGTAAGATGAATAAAGTAATAGACATGAAAGTATTCTTCGTGCAGGAAGGGAGCATTCTATGATGATTCAAAACAAGAATACTTGAATTTCAACGCAAATAAATAGATGGTCACGAATCAAGAAGAAGAAATTTGAGATGACGTTAATCATAAAATCAAGACATGATGAATTAAATGGAAGAGTGTGTCTAACATATATTGTATAATAGGTGTATCCCTCTAGGATTAAATGCATAGAGATTCTATGCAACAGAGGTCAACTCATCTGATTTAATCTGATATTCTTGACGGCCAATCAGATCCATTCCACATGTAAATCCAATGAGTAATGTAAGTGATTCCATGTGAGTAAGGCAATCATCGTGGAAGAAAAGAAAAAATGCGTAAAACTGCATGTTAAGCAACAAAAGTAAATGGGGCAAGAAAAAATGAGTATGAGTATGAGCAGAGAAAATTTTGCAGCACTGCCAAATTATGGTATTGCAGAATGAAATCATACCACAGCTCCGAAACACAAAATCGCATTATATTTTCGTGACTTCCCAAGCTTTTCCGCAACCACACCAATTTCAGAACTCCCAGGGACCCAAACAACCTGATGGATAAAGAGAATAATCATTCCATGTAAAAAAGTATTCATACAAAATAATGAAGGATCGGTGTTACATGGATGCACCCATCCTCCTCGAAGTACCTGTGTCAATGAGATAGAAACTAAGTATCTGTATGGGACATGTGTCTTATACAAATATCTAAATTGGACACCCAAATCCTCTACACGAGACGATGGAAGAAGAAAAAAACTCAAATTTAACAACAAAGATGGGCTTCCTACTTCTGATATAGATGGAATCCCCTTTGTGACCACATCTCGGTTAACTTAAATGATAATTAAGTATATCCTAAATAACAATAACAACATGCAATATACTACTATATAACATGTGTATTTAAATGCGGATGAAGTGTCCGCGTCCATGTATCCAAGTTTTAGACACATATTAACCTAAAATCCCCATATCCTAAGTATTGAGATTTAGAGATGTTTGACACACCCCCACATCCAATACCTATTCCTGAGTTCATGTAACATAGGGAAGGATGAAAAAACACACATCCACACCCAATACCTGTTTCTGAGTTTATGTTGTTAGTGGATTTAAATATTAAGGTTACACCCAAAGTATTAGGGCAGACAAGTTCCTGAGTTTGAACATCACTGTCACCCTAATAATTAAAATTAAAACACATGTTGGACCAAAAGAAGGCCACACATGAAGGGGTGTGTTAGAAGATTTAAATATTAAAGTTACACCCTCTCTAACACTTTAACCTTTTAGAATAGATGGTGGTTAACATGTAGCATAGGGAAGGATGAAAAACACCATATAATTAGTGTTATGTTTATTATCTACATTATTACCAAATTGATTGCAACAAACACTAAGATATTCTAACTTGCAATGCTTGGATTTGCCATTTACTTCTTCTAGGTGCTATTTAACTAAAATGTTGAGGTTTCTTTGAACAATTATATAAAAATTGGAGTTATGAACTATCTATAGTTTATTCTTTGACTATAAGACACATGGACAGGCATGACCAGCCCCCATGAAAGAAGTTCAGATAATTTTGGTGATCACATTTAAAAATAATAATTAACATTTGAGTAAGCCAAATTATATAAATTAACAGGTAAGATACCTGAGACAGTGAGACGCATGGGGGAGATACTTGATTTTTTGGACTCGTTGAGAGTTTAGGGGCCTTTTTGGCCTTGCATAGTTTTGGGGGGATGCGATCCCCGTTTGATGGCTTTCTTTTTTCTAATACAGTCTTACTTGTCAAAAAAATAATATTACATAAATTAACAGGTGAAATATCCAATGGCCTAGATCTCTAGAAATCACAGCAAAAATCAAACCTTTACACAAGCAAAAGGTAAGATGCCAGTCCATTTTGTACTCAAATAAACAAATATCCTAAAGAACAAAAACTATATGAAATGTTTACAAGAAAATCTTCATTCATAGACATTACAGTAATCATTTTAATAAGATATCTCTCATGGTTATGTTGGCCGTCAATACAATTAATCGACCAAAATCTTTCTCTTCGACAAAAATGGCTGGAACCATTGCGATGGAAACTCTCTCCTTAAAAACTATAGTTACACAATAAAGATCATATTGTGTTAAAATACATTATGCATATATCTGTGTCTTCTGAAAAGATAAACCCCAGTATGGGAAGTTAAAGGATTTAAATATGAACTTTAAGAGAAGTCCAAAATACACATACAATACAAAAGTGAACTAATTTAAAAAGGCCAAACTGGCAATACAATATAGAACATGGAATAAAATTGCAGGCATCACCAGATTATGAAGTACAGGCTAGTGCACTAAGGCAACTAGATGAGTAAAGACACATTTGAGAAGAACAACGAGAAGGGAAAAAATAAATTCAACAGATAAAAAGGAGAAGACAATGTGGAAGGGCAAAAGAAGAATCAAGGTCAACACCCAGTTTCGGTTGTACCTAACTCGGTTGCTGTGGAATGGATAATAACCTGTTTTTTTTATATTATTTTGCACAAAATGGCTGCTGTTGGACTCAAAAAAACATTCTCACTTTTGGCAATCCAAACTGGGTGAGAACAAGAATGAGGATTTTATTATTATTATTATTATTATTTAGAAGAATGCATGCATTTGCCTGGTGTAAGAGTTGTAGTTCCCAAACCACTCTAAAATTCAAAACAGCCCAACCTTTGCCAAACAGAATGCTAAAATAATTGGATTACGTGTCCCAGCCATGGAAATCATGAACATCAATTATGAAGGTAATCAGACACTTTGAGCAATCCATCATTGCAGCTCTCCAAATTAGAGTTTTATGTACTTTTTGTATGAAATAGAAATGTGGGTTCATAGCGCGAACATCTCCTGTCAATTGATGTGGTGCTATTTGAAAAGCAATACATGTATAAACTCCATATGCACAAATCAAATGACAATGGAATGCAGACACAAAGGGGACCAATTTATAGGTGCTAACACTTTAGAAAATGACTATGGCTACATACATCTATATCTTCTTCTTTAACTGAATATTTCTTGAAAGTTTCCACGGCTCCCTCCAACAGCAGCTTTGTCACAATCTCATTAAACCGTGCCACAACCTTTATCAAGGAAGGCAGTCCATGTCCAACAAATTGCACGTTAAAAAATTATCAAAGAAGTGTTAGAAACTAAATGAAATCTGATTCATAGGGCAAAAAAATTGCAACGATTAAAACAAGTATACAGAGTCACAAACCCCATTAATAGTTAAGCTGTAAAATTCTCAAAAGCAAACGAATACCGACAAGAAGTAACAATGAAATAATGAAGACTGAAGATACAAAATTTTCTTTCAAGTCAAAACCATTAACAGCAAGGAAATGAAACTTTCTTCTTCTCTTTTTTTTTTTTTCTTTTTTTCTTTTTTTTTTTTTTCCACGCACACCCAACTCATAAACACACCCAATATATCACAATGGGAAATTAGACCCCAACCTCCCACTAGCACCTATTCACCCATCAGAATATACCATATTTGATGATAAATTGTGGATACTACACCAATGTAACAATAAAAGGCATACAAATATATATATACACACACATGAATGTATGTGTGTATATATAGCTGATAGGCCCAAACCCAGTAAGAAAAACCAAAGGATTGACAATCCCAAAAGCACTAATCAAACAATTAAAGAGAAAATGAAGAAAAATACTGACAATAGCGAATCGAAGACCCTCGGTTGCAGTAACAGATCCCGTCACATGTCGAACAGCCGCTGTTTGTGCAAATGCCGATGACAAGAAACGATCCTTCCTTGCCACCTCAAAGTGAGACCCAAACCGCATTTCTGGGCAAAAACACCATTCAATTATACAACAATACACATATATACATATATATTGAAGAATAAGGAGAGAGAAATCGTATCAACAAGAAGGTGGTAAAACATACCCTGATTTGGTGAGGAAAATGAGACGAGTGCTGGTGTGACTTTCCGGGGAAACCCATGAGAAAGAGTTGAAGAGAATTTGACGTGGGGTTGTAATTGCGGCGGTGGGCGAGAAAACAGTACGAATCGGTGGTGGTGGTGGTGGTGGTGCCAAATGAAGCAGCCATGTTAGCACCCACTTCGAACGAATAGGTAGGTGGCCATTTTTTTTGGAATGGTTGTAGGTGGCGATTTTGATTATGGTACTAACTCCTAAAAGAGTTTGACAAATCAAAGTCAATATTTAGAAAACTGGGGGAGTTTGGAACTAAACAAGAGCAGACAACCTGTCAACTCTCTCAAGTGCAACGACGTTAGAGGTTCTTGTTACAGTAGGATCCGAATGGGATGGTCATGGACTTGGGTCGTGGTCGGGCATACATTGGGGTGGCAATCGAGTAAGTTTGGGCGAGTTTTGAACTGGTCATTAATATAATGAGTATCTACTATTCACTCATTATTTATCTATAAATATAGTGAGTATCCATATCACCCACTAATTATTCACTATTCAGTCATTATTTATTTATGAATATAATGGGTATCCATATTACGCACTCGAATCAAGTATCTCGGCAAACGAAAGGAAGAGATACTCACGTATCTCGACTGAAAAGTTGTCAATCACATTAATGAATTTCAGTTATAACCGCTTTCAAAATGATGGGTATTTAATGTAATAGTACTTATCCCCATGTTAAAAGACTAAAATACCCCTATTGTACTCAATAGAACCATCATGCCTACCCTAAGAAAAGTCTCGAGGGACTATCCCACCCGTGTAAGGACCTGGCCCTATAAATAAAGGCCGAGGTGCCCAAGCCCAAGGACCAGATTTTCTTTGATAATCACTCCATTGTATTTTGTATTTTGATATCATCCCTGCTATTGAATATATATCTTGATTTATCCGAAAGAACCCCACATGTATAAATTGTGACCCCCACTTCCCATTATCCAACAACTTAAAATATTTGGTCCAATGTCATGCCTAAAATAAAAGGGTACAAAAAACTTGTGGGAATTAATAAACCGGTATGAACCAAACCGAATTTCATCTCAATTTTTTCATTTTAATATTTCAACCGTCCCATTGGTACCTTATCCATCATTCAATTCGTGTTGATTTGATGTTTCAACAATTATAATTCCGATTTTATTTTATTATTCTTATTGTTATTATTATTCTTATTCTTATTATTATTATTATTTATCATGACTAAAAGTTATGTTATATTCGAAAGTACCAAACTGAAACATTAAATATGAAAAAAAAATTTGACATATTAAATTTAAAATTTAATTTAATTTAATTTTGTAACTACAATTAGTGTTAACAATTGTGGGCAGATATTAAAACAGTTCTAATGACCAACGTCTTTTTCAGTGCACTGCAGTTTTCAATTTAGTGAAGATGGTATGATCACTCTTCCAGTCAATTTGAGGCCTTCCTAACTTGGTGTCATAGTATTTCTTGCTTGAATTTAAAAAAAAAAAAAAAAATAATAATAATAATAATAATACTTGCATCCCTATTATTGGGAGAAACTTGGATTTTGATCCTCTTCACCTCTTTCTAGCATTTAGTCCTTAATATACCAAATTTATTAATATAATCTAATCATAATAACATCATGTTTATGCCGAGGGAACGAAGAAAATTAGTAGTAACAGAATCAGAATTTACAATTTAGTCCTTGTACAAAAGGACGGAAATATTGTTCTTGTGTGCAAGTTTCGCACGGTCGGCACCGGAAAGTATTTTGGTGGCAGTCCATCCATATCTAGCAATACCAGTTTTAGAGAGAGAGGGAGGGGGAAGGCTTGAAATAACTGTGTTTATATATACTTAAAGTACATTGAGGGACGGATACATATATACACACGCATATAGAGAGAGAATGGAAGACCGGGAAGACTTGAAGTCGATACAACCGTACTTACCACTGGTTCTCCGATCACCATCTCTGTTCTGGCCATCTCAAGTGGTGGAATCACTGAAAGCGTTGTCCAAAGGCCCCCAAAACAGCAGAGTCGACTCCGGAGAGGTTCTCTTCCTCGCCATTTCCGATCTCAGACAATCCCTCAGTCTCAATTTCTCCGCCGAACGCTTAGCTTCTTCAGCCGCCGATGGCTATGCTCTTTTCTTTGATGATGTATGTAAACACTATCACCATTACCAATCTTACTCTGTTATTGGATCAATAGAACAGTCAATCGATAAGGGTTTATTTTAGATTTTACACTCTGGCTGGCTGTTTGTTTCACGGTAAAATGTTTTCCATTGGAAAATATTTTTCATGAAGGAAATCATTATTCTTCTTGTTTACCGCTTGGTTGAGGTTTTTGAAAATAAGTTGCCAATTCTTACAAAAATGCATAATGAACATTCATAACTTAACTTAGAGTTTATAGGGACTTTGGAATCCCCAAACAATCCTTCATCTCTAGAATTCTTCAAAATGGGCAGTGGCAATTCCCTATAAGCACTGCTGCTTCAGTGCTGCAATTTAAAAATTTTGCTCTTTCCTTGAATTTGAAACAAAGGATGCGATAAGGTACAATGGAGACATGGAATTTTTTCTCTTCGGAATGTTTGGGATAAATGGAGAACTCAAAATCCAACTGTGGACTGGTTTGCAGTGTGTTGGAGTGGCTCTAGACCAAAAGCGTCGCTGATCTGTGCTCTAGCAGTCCAGAACAGGCTGCTGTGTTTTGTTATTCTTAAGAGAAGGGGAATCCCGACTGTGGCTATCTTTCATAATTGCATGAAAGCTGAGGATGACCTGGATCATCTCTTTGTTACATGCTGTCTAGCAAGAGATATTTGGCAGTGGTTGTCTGTGCTTCTAGGATGGAACATGCCTCATTTTGATACATTAGCACAGCTTATTTTTTGGTTTGTCCAACAGAAAATAAAGCACAAGGCTCAAAAGCGAATCTGTGCTACAACATTCTGGTTTTTATGGGATGAGAGGAATAAGCGTTTGCATCAGGAACATCAGAGAACTGCCGTACACATTGCTCAAGCTATATGTGGAGAGGTTTTACTTCTTTCAGATATGGAACTAGGGGAATTTGGGACAACTTCTCTGCATGTTTAATTTAATTTATTTATTTTCTTCTTTCATTCTTTGGTTTCTGTTTTTACAATTTGTAGTACATATTTGTAGCTACATTGTGGTGTGTTGACCGAGGGGATGCCCTTGTTGTTCTCTTGTACATTCTTGATATATCTATAAAAAATTTCCACTTTACCCAGGGAAAAAAAAAAAAAAAAAAAAACTTAGCTTCTTCAGCTGCATGCTTACGCTTAAACACAATCAATTGATTAGGGTTTAGTTTATATTTTACACTTTGGCTCTGTTTGTTTCATAGGTAAAATGTTTTACATTGTAAAATTTTCTTGATTAAGTCATTTTCTTCTTGTTTCCTGGTGTTTGGTTGACGTTTTGAAAATGAGTTGCCAATTCTAATAAAATGCATAATGAACATTTATATAAACATGCACTTATTTAGCTGTCAATTTTACAAGTGAAGTTTGTACACAAATAAATCTATATACACAGATATATAAATCTATATGTATGTGTGCGTATAGGTGTATTTATACGTACTATGCTCATTTATATAATTATTATATATGATTATACCCTTGTATCTATACATATACACATGATTATTGTCTCTACATATGATTTTTGAGTGTAATTTCGGAAAACGGTTTACGGAAAATTCTAAGCTATTTTTGTTTTCCTAGAAGATTTTTGAGTGTAATTTCGGAAAACGGTTTACAGAAATTTCTAAGCTATTTTTGTTTTCCTAGAAGATTGTGTAATTCATTTTCTTATCAACCAAACATCGAGTAATGTTTTCAATGATAAAAGCATTTTTTGAGAAATATTTTAAGAATGCAGATGTCATTAATGGTGAAAATGACAGAGTTAAAACAGGTCTTCGGATATTCGAGTCACAACAACCAGGCATAGTGCTCCTCAGCCAGGTACCTTTCACGTTTAATTTAATATGTTGACTTCATTAATACTAAGAGTGTGATCCTCAACAAGTATATTGATGTTCGTGATTTTTCCTATATATGTATGATATATCACCCTTTATTTTTTACTAATAATTGTGTAGTAGAGAATTATATGACTGTGCTAACTTGTGTACTTAGATATCCAATTTTAATTCTGCCTCTATTTTTGCAATTTGCCCTTGATAGTTGATCCTAGTACATTGTTGAACAGAAGATTTGGGTTATGCACATACACAGGACATTAGCATAATTATGCATTACTGTTATAGTTCATGTAATTATACTCAACCCCGTCACCAGAAAATTGCGCAAGAATATCAAAATGTGGGATGTTTCTTTTCTTTCCGTTAATGAGAAAAGGTAGACAAGAGAGAACAATTGAATCGTATAAAACATGGTATCTTTATCCTTATTTACTTCATAGAGTAAGATGCATTTTCACATTTTGTATTCTTTCTCAACCAATGGACCATTCGGTTGTGTTTCTTAAAAGTGATTTTAGATAAATCCATTTTTGTTATGACTGCCATTGGCAACTTATCGCATGGGGCACTTGAATCAGAGTGTCATGGTACCATTTTGCTCTATAGCTGCTGGACCATAGGAGATTTTTTTTTTTTGATAAGTTGGACCATAGGAGATTTGAAAGTACATCTTGGCTCGATTTAAATATAATATAGTTTTGGTGAGATGAATTTTAAGTGCTGAAGTCTTAGGTTATATTTGTAGTTTAGTGATAAGTGAAGTCTTTCTAACTTAATATTTTTGCATTCTTAACTTATTTTTATAAGTGATATCTAAAATAGCATTACCAATTGAATTTAATTGGGTAAACAATTACTTTATTCAGAATTTTGTAAACAACACCTTAGAAAGTATCATAGTACATTGGATTTGATACGTTCCATATTTTATGCATTACTCTTAGACAAAAGATTCATCCTTCATCTATGCATTGCTGTTGTCTTTTTCATGGTCTGATTGTTGACAATGAATGTCTATGTTGTTTTCAGGAATTGATTGGTGCTCTTCTTGCTTGTTCCTTCTTCTGTTTGTTTCCAATCACTAATAGAGTTG